TATATATATATATATATATATATATATATATATATATATATATATATATATATATATATATATTTCTCCTAATGTCAGTATTTTGTCATTTATTCTGTATTGAAAGGAAGGTACTCTCTTGTCATTTGTTACGAATAACACGGATAAGTTTCTATATATTACGTCACGCTCAATAAGAACGAAAACGGCGGAGTTTGCATTAATAAATAAATTATTGTTTGCAGTGAAGAAATACGATAATTTTATAGTCTCTTCATTCTATTAAGGCGTCGTTTGGCATCGGCGTGATGTAGAACTGCACCAGATTGTCCAGATCGGTGAGCTTGGTTATAGATTCGCCTGCAATCGATTTGTTGTATGCTAGATTGTTTCTAACACGTGATAACGAACTTTCGAGATTGCACTAACCTGTTAAGCTCATCTCGTTATGAAGGAAACGCACGGTATGCGCGTACGGCTGTTGAATTTTCTCGCGTAACTGCGCAGCCAAGCGACGTGTCGGATTCCACAACTGACTACGAAAATTCGGTACATCCGTGTGACTCTGCTTAAAGGACTCTGGTTTGACTTCCTCCATCGGTAGCACGTCCGTTATTCTATATTGGCTTGTGTCGATATTCCAAGTGAACTTACAGCCAATTTCATACAGCTTTCTCTCTTGCGAACTGCGGAATATTATATCAATTTACTAAAATTATTTAAGCTTAAAAAAAATATAATGTGCGGTGTAATTTAGGTAAAATAATACAAAAGAAAACGAGATGTATAATTCATAAAATAGAAGAACAATATGTGTGCGCTGTACCATTGCGTTTGACTGCACAATTCACTTGCTTCGATCTTCATTATATGCAAACATATGATGTCTCCACTAAGTGCGCATACATCGATTACTTCAATGTCATAGTCGCTGCAATGCCAATACTTTTTTTTAAATCTCGTGCAAATCCAGTCTGCTATATGATGAGAAAAAGTCTCAATATCGAAACTCAATTGAGTTATAGAGACTATCGGCACTATCTGAAAGTTTTTATTCCAATTATATTAGAAATGTATTCACATTTTAATTATAACTGTTATCCAGCAATCATGATTTATACGAAGAATTATATTGCTTTTATAACATAGTAAATACCAGTTTTTCCGCTTTACTGTTGCTGATCATTTGCATCTGAACGTAACCGGAACCGTGAACATGCATTGGAAGCACACATTGGTAACTCACATATCCTCCTGTCTCTTCATCTGCAAATTTGCGATTATTAGTACAATACTTGCCTCTTGTAACTAAAGCGATGTAAATTAATTGGAAGAAAAATTTTAAACATATACCTTCCACGTCTGTAATTACTGATATCATTTCGTCGTCGAGCTCTATGTAGCTCCGTTTGAAACACGCGGTGCACTTTATCATAGGATACTGCAAGTTATTTCGAGGAACTAAGGGAGAGAAACTCGGACAACACTTGCCAACGCGATCTCTATATACGTTTCCATTGGACAACTGATTTTGATTCAACGGCCGCAATACGTTTTTCTCAGCTGAAAGAATATATCAGCATACGGAATATGTTACAAAACTTCCTATTAGTAATAAATAATTGACAAGTTTACCTGTTTCGGGATTCAAATCGTTTGCTATACTGACGTCCTGACTGAGATTCAATTCATCCGATTCACTTTGATCCGAGTCGACCCAATGCCTCCTACCATTCGGCAATACCGGTGACATCGCCGGAGACGAGGGTATCTGGTGTATGGAGCAAGTGCGATGCCTAAATTGATCGCGTATGTGTTTGAAAGGAACTATGTTCTCCGCGTCTTCTGTCTCATCGCAAAATTCGTACTTCTTATCGGCGAGTCTGCGCTTCCTGAATGAACTGAGCTTCTCACACATTTCTTGTGCCTCGTCGGTGAACTCGTACGCTTTTTCCGCCTCGAGGATAAGCTTATGCGTCGCTCGGATGGTCCTCGACTGCGTTGTATTCACAATGGTGGGCGGCGGTGAATGTAAACTTGATCTTTTGCGAGGACTTGGCTGACGAAAAGAGCGCGTGATGGGCGGTGACATCAGGCGAGATGAGCACGAAGAAGAAGGACTGATCGACACGGATTGCAGCGGCGAATTTATGGAAGCCACGTTACCGCTGTTGCTGTCCTGTGAGGCGCCCGGTTGCGGCGAGCTCGGACGTTGGCTTATCGGACGCTGGACGATTCTGTGCTGACTAGATTCCGAGTTGCGGGTGCGCAGGATGTCCGAGGGCGGAGTGAGGATCGGCGACGACCACGACGTCATCGCCTTGAGATCGGTTGGCAATCTCTGCGGCGTCGAGCGAGGTGAGCACGACGGATGTTTCACTAATGTGATGAGATCGTTACCGATGTTAAGCTCCTGCGTCATATCCTCGCAGAAGTCCTGCAGAATCTTGTCGCGGACCGATATGGCAGTCTGCTCGTTGACGCGACTAACAGGACTGCTGTTACTTCGGTTACACTTGCATTCGGCCCCGTCCGGGCATTCGCACGACTTAACACTTAAAGCGTCGGTAGACTTACTTATATCACAGACATAGTCGCTTTGATTGCTGCTCGAGGTATTTAACGGTAAATCGCGTCCTAACTTATCGTCTAGCTTACTCGCCGGCTCATCCAGAAAATCTTGCTCCATGATAGATTCGCATTTGGGAGATCGATCGATGGAGCGTTCTGGCGTACCCGCTTTTTCGTCTGAACTCTCGTATCGCTCTGTCCTCGTTGAATAATCCGTTTCTTCGACGTCACTCATATCCAACGGGATCGTATCCGGAACCACGGAATCTTGCTTATCGTATGTCTTCTGATTCTTTGACTTGGGTATATTTAAGTCTACTCTGAGCACATGTAAGAAATTTCCCGTATTGACCACAACATGATTCCAGTAATTTAAGCACACTGTGGCTCGAAATTTCGGATACGGTGAGATGACTTCGTACGTGGTGTGTACTGTGAGTCCATGCTGCAGACAGTTACATCGTACGCAACTGTCCCAGTTTGCAGCTAATTCTACATGACGGATTTTTATTAGTTTTGTATATAAATACATACTTTACGTGAATATAGAATGTAATAGGACCCATGACACAATTAGAAAGAGTTTCATCCTCTATTTAGTTGTGATATAAATCCTGCCACAACTTATATTTGTTTTTTCCTAAAAGTCCTAAACTATTACCTTCACCCTCTTCCTCGTATGCTGCAGCAACCTTTAAGCAATCCTTGCAGTTCTCGAGAGACGGCACTGTCGTTATCGTTAAATACGCTCTATCAGTTATTTGCAAGGGGATAAAATTTGTACTGCAAATAAATAGATTATTAATTTCATATGTACTAATTTAAACATTAAATATAATGTGAATTACTTTGCTAAACGTACCAGAGACCGTGTATTACAAGCTTATTACGTTCCATTGGCCATTGCGATATAACTATGCTTAATTCTCTATAAATTGTATAATTGCCAAACAATGTAACTTCAGCGACTTTGCGAGCGACACGATTCGGTGTGAAGGTCCACCAATGTAGCAGATATTTATACAGGGATGTGATACTGACCTCCAGTGTGTATGTATATGTGAGTAGAAACTGACCACATTGTGTCAGTCCCATTATAATGTGCCTAAAAATAAAATTTATTGCAACTGCTTGTTTTGATTCAAATGTAATATCTATACCATTCATATCTTTATGATAATAAGCTATTAAACATTTTCTTAATATTCTTTCAAATTTGTTACTTTGCTTTTTTCAAATCTTTACATTAATCTATTTCTTGCCAATCTCTTTCTCTTAGTTTTTGACTAAGCCAAGTTATAAGTACTCAATGATAATTGAGTACGATATGACTTAATGCAACTGTTATATTAGCGTACCCCGCTTCCAGCGCCGACTTTGGCATTACATGTAAAAGAGACAAATGTCGCCATTTAGGTACTGTTGCAAACAATCTTTCTTCTGATGCATAATTGTGCGCTGAAAGGCATCCTCTTATCTGCAAGCAGATTAATTCGAATTAGTACAAAATCTTAAACTTAGATTTTTAAAAGTCAATACATGCTACTGTTTGATATTTCTCAAAAGAAAAACAACTATCTCAAAATGCGAAATATCGATAGTTCCCTTGGAATATTAAAAAAAAGCTTATGTATGAAGGGAAGGATCGCATATTTTTTATTATTATGCAGCGTAAATAGCAAGCGATTTTTAATGAGATGGATCTATCACAATTACAAGATTAAACGATAATTTCTTGCTTCCAGCAGATTTTCTTAATAACAGCACTTGTTACAGGCACAAAAAAATTTTCTTGACAGCTCGGCCGATCCTATCAGTCATGATGCCACTCATAGGATTTGAAGGTTAAAGCTCGCTTACCTCTCTTATCAACAGTTTTTGCAGAAAATGCCGCTTGCTACGTCGATGAGACGGACACGGCTTCCTGCCCACTACGACGTATTCAGATTTTTCCGACGTAATGTCAGAGAAACACTCGTTGCAACAGTCTGAGGTAGTGTCGGAAGACGACGCGTCCGCCATTTTTAAATAACCTCGCTCAGCAGCGCGCGTGAGTACTCCTCGGCGGCGGAAGATGAAAAGGCTCTCAGTGGCGCGACGGGCGCAGGGATCATGAGGGTTGGTTGCGATTTTTCTGCATGATAAGCAATGTGTGAGAGCCAGTCGCACACGTCGCCTGTCGCGTGTGGATGCGCGTGTGTAGGTGAAGAATCACATCGCACAGACGCGACACGCCACAGATTTGTCATTCAACACTCCGCTCTGACAATACCGACCAGCTGATGGCACGTTGACATTAGTAAAAAAAAAAGTTAATATCGGAGAGATGCATCTGTAATTAAGGTGAAAAATTGTTACTAATCTTACTTTTTAGATATTTATACAAAAATCTACTTACATGTAATTTTAGTTTTGTAGAGGAAAATATTACAAAAATAGTACAAAATATTTTTGTATGGACATAATAGTTTTAATACATAAACATCGTGCCTTTTTAAAATGTTCTACAATGATATAACTTAATGTGTTAAGACTGTTATAGCAATATGTGTATATTGTATAATATGTCTTATAGAATATATATATATATATATATATATATATATATATATATATATATATATATATATATATATAATTTTGCTATATTTAATTTATAGATGAAGAATATCTGGAGATAATCACATCTGAGGATTGTTGCTTGAAACATTCTTATACATATAGAATTTCTGATAAATAGAATAAAATGGATATTACATTAGATGATAAATTGAATGTACTACAGCAAATAAGTCAGCGAAAGCTTGTGGAGATATTGGATGTTATTCCAGGCACAAAGGATCTAATAATAGAACAGAAACTGATGAAAATATTAGATAGTTTTGTAGGAATGACTGTATTAAAGTAAGTTTGCTTGCTTCTCTATGCTTATATGTGTGCTTATATGTTTCTGTGCTTATATGTTAGTTGCATCATTGATCTTCAGATTATAAAATCTGATCATATTGTTTTATTCAGGCGATATGGAGTAGACAAAATTTATAAAATGGAGGAAGGACTGAAGCCATCAAACAGTCAGCGTATATTTCTAGTATCCAACAATTTAATTGCATGCAAAAGAGTTCTGGATCAAATACAATCTGAAATATCTCATGTTAGCAAGATCAATGTTGAAGTTTGTCATCATTTGCTGGTCATGCCTTTCGTTCCAGCTGTTTTACATAATCTAGTAGAAGAGGAAGGTCAGCACACACACAAGTTATGTAAATAGTATTATTTATCTTATTTTTGTCTTGATAATAATGTTAAGTTACTTAGGTTTGTCCGGACTAGTTACATTACGAACGCTGTCTCCGGAATTTATAAAATTGGATGGAAATGTTTTATCATTGGAAAATCCAATGTTTATTGATCTTTATTATCACAAAGATACCAGTCTTCTACGAGCATTAGCCCAAAATTTGTGGTCGTTACAACTAATACTCGGTTCACCGAAGCTCTCCCTTTTCTTCGGCAAGCACAGTCAGCAAATAAACATACTGATGGAATCTATGGAACAATATCTAGGCTCATCCAATTTGGAACACGAGATCGGCGCGCTGATCGTAATGGACAGAAGTTACGATCTGACGACAACCCTGCTGACGCCCGTAACGTATGCGGGTTTGTTGAACGAAGTTGTAGAGGTGAACGTCGGTACGGCGACTTTAGGAAAGTCACAAACTAAATTGAATCCAGATAAAGATCAAATTTATGGAGAAGTAAGAGATACACCCTGCAGCGATGTCTTTCCGATTCTACACGGAAAGGCTAAGTCACTTAAATGTACTTAATATTTATATTTGTTTATCACAGTTTTTGTTTATCGTCGTCTAATCGATAATATTTTCGACGTATGTTAATGTCAGCCGAACAGGAGGTGGTGCAGACGATGAAACTGGCAGAAATGAAAAGATATGTGTCGACGAGATTACGGAAGACCGAAGATACGACACGGCAATTGGCGTTTCATATATCCGCGTGTCAGACTATCGCTGACACCTTGGGTTCTGAATTTCAGATCTTGCAGACCTTGGAGAAGCAGATACTCGATTGTAAGGAAAGAAAAGAGTGCTTAAGTTACATCGAAAAAAACATGGGTACATTTCTTAGTTTTGTACATCGATTAATATGCATTATAATCAAGATTAATAACATTAACGATTGCAATGGAAAATATATTTTTGCAGACGAACACGCGTTACGATGTTTGCGTCTTCTGTGTCTGTTATCTATCACTAGCGACGGCATCGCGCAAAACGAACTTCAGAATATCCAAAAGCTCCACTTGCATACTCATGGTTATCAGCATATCCCTCTATTTTACAAATTACGTACCGTCGGCTTGTTAAAATACAGAACTGAAAATCTCCTTCACAAGTTGCCGAATTGGAGTAGTGAATGGAGCAGCAACGCACAAAAATTGAAGCTCTTACCTAGTTATTCTAAACGGTCGGATCATAATGGTCGTACCTGTCCCAGTTATGTGTTCAACAACGCTTACGTACCCGCCATTGTTCGTATCTAATTTTTCTTCATATTATAAATTACGTAATATTAATTACTATATATTAACGTTGTTTAATGTATAATAGGCGCAGATATTAAACATCGTATCAAATCAGGAGAAAGATCCTCGCAGTTTCGAGGATTTGACAAATTTACCGGGCTGCACGGTAAACGGTCAACGAGGTGCATTATCACCGAAGATGATTGTAATTTGTGTGGTAGGAGGTATTACTTGTGCAGAAGTAGCGGCTTGTCGGCTGATCGAAAAGTCTACAGGAATACGTCTTGTTCTTGCGTCCGATACTATTATAACTGGGAACAAACTCATCCAGAGGATACAAGATATATGAGAAAAGTTACATTTATTAAAGCTCATTCAGATAAACTTGTATAGTCACATTATACTTATACACATGAAAATCGACCAATACTGTGTCTAATATAAAAAAAATTTTTTGCTGCATAAATAGTTTGTTAGTTTTCTTGTGCACATGTATTATGCGAATATAAAAGTTTGTTTGAACAAGTTTTTACAATGACAAAATTAGATAAAATGCGTCAATGTATATTAAATTTAAGTCGATATTTTTAATAATTTCTGTTATCTTCGCGATTACGATCGCGATCCCGATCGCGCCTTTGGCGACCCCAATCTTGCCCCTGACGATTGTAGTTTTGTCTGTCGCGGAAATTGCCTTGATTTCCTCTCGAGAAGAAGTTGCCTATATTAATACAAGTAAGTATTAATGTTGTTATGTACGGAAATGCAAGTCATGCGCGCAATGTTTTTGTAACTTGTCTTCATAAACATACGAATAAACTCATACTTGTATACATACGTTGAAATAAACAAAGAAATATACGTAGAGAAAATCATGTATCTTCCTTACCCTGCTTCATCTCGAAGATACGTTCGTTTGAATCGACGAAATTGTTGACTTTATCCGTGAGTTGCAAAGCCAAGGATTGCAGACGACTTGGCTCACTGCGATGCATAACTACAGTTTCCGTCGGATCGTCCAATGATGCCTAAATTTGTGGAAAGAAGAAATATATTTGAGTCATACAGATTATAAAACGTTGCTTTCATTATGCAACATAAAAATAATATTACTACACAATGTACCATAAGTTCCTCGTTGATGATCATTTTACTAATAGTGGAATGGACGATAGGACGTTTCAGTTGGAACATATCAGCGAGCTTCGGCATCGAGATAGAATCGTACACGTGGGAATATGTGAACAAATACGTCCTCAATGCTTCCTCCTTGATCAATCGTGTTAGCATAGCTCGTACCTTGTCCGCTTGATGGAAGAGATCCCAGACCTGCAATATTTGAAAGTAATGCAACTTATCAACTTCTATTCTCGATATGTCGCATCTGAAAAGAATCTCTAGCGCGGAAGAAATCTTTACTTTTGCGTTCATCTTCTCATTGATGATGAAATTGTTACAAGCCGCCCAATTGCCGTTACGCATCGCTTTCGCGGCAGCGACAACGTGTTCTCTCATAGATTCCGGCGGTCCTACTAATGATTGACGTTCGCTAGATCGCAATTGCTGATAAAAAGTCTTTGATATCATCCTTCGCCTTGCATCAAATTCATGCGCTAGAATTATGTAAAATGGATTCCCGCATAAATATAAATATTAAAGATAACTGTGTTTTCAATAACGTAAAATGCAAAAAGTAATATCTAAACATATATTAAATGTGTGTCCGTGTGCCATGTGTGTGTACGTATGTGTGTGTAAAGAAGAAAGATGAAAATACTAATATGTTAAATATGAAAGAAAAATATACCAGCCATATAAGGAATTTCTATAAGCATTGCCGAAACGAGATATACACATTCGAGGAGTTCTAGATTGATATGCATGTGGAAAGGCATTTGCCTCTGCTTTTCAATCTTCTCCTGCTCTTTACTGCGCTCGTGTTGTCGTTGTGGCAGCAAACCTTGCGCCAAAAGTTCCTTCACTTTACCTGTCACCATTAGATCAACCAAGCAATTGTGGGAATCTTTAATATTGGCATGACGGAATGCACATAATCCTAAGTGAGCGATTGTACGATTGTACAAAATCTAAAAGCAATTTGATTTAATTCCGTATTTTTTAATGAAAACAAAGACATATGTACACAAATTCAATACCTGTGTGGGTGGGTCAGAATGTTGAATCGTTTCCTGAAGATGCGACATCAGAATTAAATCACGCGCCTGGAACCAATTGTCATGAAGCGCGTGGTGATAAATGTGGGACAGAATCGCACGAGTTCTCAATCGATCGGTATTGTCATGTGCGTAAACGTATTTGCAAAGCTTCTCCATTACTTGCACAGACGTGATTGTGTCTTGTCCCAGTTCACCCTACACACAATGTAATTAATAATTTTAATAAAATAAAAAGAATTTGTATATATAGTTTGTATATATAGGCATTATGTGAGTGACTTACGTCCTTTTGTTTGAGAACACTTGGGTCAAACTTGTAATACAAATGTTCGATCTTGCGTAAGTATACACGGCAGAGTTCAGACACGGTGCCTTGTCTTTCTAAATATTCTTGCACTTTATCTATTATGGTAGCGACTTGTTTCTCATCCTTCAATCTGTAACAAATAAAATTTTCTTTGCATGAAAGTCACATAAATGGATATTCTTGCATTTTTTTATTGAAGAACTCTTTTCCGCATATCTTTATTTTTCAGAAATATAAATTCAAGTCAGTTTGAGAGAGTAAGCTTTTTAACCCTTAGCTGGTACACTGGGATCTTTGAAGTCCCAACTTAATTCAGCTTAATTCACCTCCAATTTATTCCCTCCTATAGTACGAAAATGGTGCTTATGCCATCATCTATTGTTTGTCTAAGGAGAACTCTCTTTCTCCTAGATTACCTAGCATAATTCTAAAAGCGTCAATCTAGCTGTGTATTCGAGTGAAATGGAGTGGTGCCATCAGAGACCCCAGTGCGCCAGTTATAATTATTCGAAGAATTTTTTCTGAATTTTTTTCCCTTTGGTGTTTGTTATCAGGGCGTAGAAAAAGGTAAGTACATAATATTGTAGGTCATTTAATTTTTTTTTCAGGAGTGTATCATATTATTCCGGTTTTATTAGATGGCGTATTAGTTACGGCTGCGGCCTATACGCCTGCAGTTATTCGAAAAAGATCGTGAGGATAATTTTTGTATATTAATCAAGTAAAATTCACTCATATCTAATAAATAAACAAGTATACTTTGGAAAAATAAGTATATTTTGAAAAAATAAGTAGTACTTTTTTTACTTAAATTCGTTTTTTCAACTCCCCAAATAAATATCTTTTTTGAAATGGCCACTATCAAACTATTTTTTTCCTTAAAGTGTTATATCTCAATAGTATCAAGTTAAATTTTTAGTTCTTAATATGAAAAATGGAAGAGTTATGAATTTTTTAGTGAAAATAGTCATTTTTTCGTTTTTTTTATGTTCTCGAATTTTTTTTCAAACTCAGCATTACATTTTATCAAAATAACCTATGACATCTTTTAAGTCGATATTTGAAAACTATTTTGGAATTTTTTCAAGTGAAAAAAATTAATAGCTTCCACGCAGCAAGCATTTTAGTGGTTGGAGTCTCAAACGGCCCAGTATGCCAGCTATGTGACTGTGGTAAAGTATGCCAGTTAAGGGTTAATTCTAAGATAATCAATACTATAAGAGACTCACCTTTCTACATATTCGTTACTGTGTGGATCGCACTCCTTTAGTAATTTCGTGAATTCTTCGTCGAGACGTTCCACTAACGTCAACACGCATCCGTGAATCTTGTACGGTGCAGTTTCGAACTCCTCCATCTCTTCTATGATTGTTTCTGTTATTACCATATCTGTAGCGCTCAACAGCATATCCAGCATTTCAGTAATACGCTCCAGGATTCTGTAGAAGAATATGAAGTTGTCTTACATGTTTTGCAAATTAAAAAAATCTCATTTCTTGCAGTGAGAAAAGAAATGATTAATCAATTTTTCGCCGGATATCTGATAATTGTATAGAGTTATACATACTTGGACCAATATTCAGGTTTCATAGCGTCTGAAACCTTTGGATTGTAATCGAATATGGAAGACACAATGGAGAACTTGATCTTCACTGCTACAGCAGGTCCAAGGGAATGCGCGTCGGCGATTGACTGCAGTTCATGTAAGAGCTCTATTTGCTCTCGTCTGTCTGTACGTTTTTTACCACGAGCTGCGATTATTTCGGACAGTTTCTTCAGCACTGCTGTGATATTGATCTCTGCGTCCTTAGCGAACATCTTTGGTTTCTCAGAGGGAATAGCTACGCCGCCCTTGACAGTCTCCCATTCACCTTCGCCGTCATCTTCGTCACGTTTCTTCTTTCGTTCCTTTTCTTTACGTTCTTTTCGTTGCTCCTTTCTCTTCGCCTTGTCTTCATCCTCTTCCTTATCAGTTGCTCTGTTTAAAGCAATGTGTCATGTAATATATATCGTCAATTCGTTATTTATTTATATCGTATGTTTGTTAAATTTCATTAGAAATAAAAAGATTATATATACTTCTTGATGAAACGTTCACGAATATTTTGATATTGGCCTTCATCGTCGCTACTTGTACTATCACTGTCCGAATCGCTGCCCCAATCAGATTCACTTTCACTGCCTTCCTCGCCATCAGTTGCACCCTTCTGTAACATAAAATATACGGGAACAAGTTTATAAAAAAGTTATTCAGAACGACCTATACTATGAAAATATTAGTATTGTAGAAAACCTTAAACTTAGCCACGTCAGGTTCACTAGCTTCCGAACCAGCCTTTTTAAATGCTACAGCACTATCCTCTTCTTCCTCGGTCTCTATAATTTCTTCTGCTAAAATTATAAGAAATATTGTTTAATTTTACATTGACTACTTTTTAATTCTAAGAATTTAAATTAGGTAAAAATTTGTAATAGATGTATTTTAATAATAATAATAATTGGACCTTTATCTTCTTCATCATCATCATCTTGATCTGGGTTCTCTCTAAACTTAGTTATATCATCTTCAAATTCCTTGTTATATTTGCGTAATTTTTGACGTAATGTCGAAAGCGATTTGGAATTATTTTTTGACATATTCTTGCGTCCATCTCGATCTTCCCATACTTCGTTAATAAAATCCTCCATTTCAACTAAACATCTAATGTAAAACCGTGGAGTTTGTCCAAGTTCTTCCTTAGTGACTACTGGTAGAGCTTTTTGATAAGCTCGCATCAAATCTTCAAAACCTGAAATTATAAAAAGTTGTAAATAAAAATGTCCTTTTCTTCATTCTATTTCTTAATTATATTAATTATTAATTGTATGTAAATATATAATATTCATGTTTCTATTTTTATTAAATATGTTTTTACTAACTCAATAATTATAAGCATAAAATAAAAATTTTACTATACTGAAGTTACTTACTGGAGAGCATACTGCTCATATCTTTAATTTTCTTATAATTTCTAATAAGTTTTATAAGATTAGCTATTTCTTCATATCGCTTCTCTTTTGTGGAACGTACAACACGCTTTGTTTCTTCTTCATCATCACTGAACTATAAAAAAATTTTAATTATTTTAATAATAAACTTAATAATATTTTTTATATACAAACAACATGTGCATTTAGATACGTACAGTAAAAGCTGTCGCTGGTGCCCTTTGCACCTGCTCCTCCTCAGATGCGCTATCAGACTCAGAATCTGAAGCAGTTGCAAAGAAACGACTCATGATAAAAAATATTCAGTAATACTCTGGAATAACCTGCAATAGTACAATAAAATATTAAAAGTACTAAATATTGTATAATTATATTTTATTCTATTGGCTTATAAAACATAAAAAATAATTATAAGAAATAAATATTATACTTATAAATAAATATTTGTAATAAATATATAATAAAAACCATGTGAAACGTGATAAAAATAACCTAACATATGACACAAAATATTTAAAATATTGTGCAATATTGTAAAAAAATACGATGAGAATTAAACTCAGAATAGAAAATACATATTATATAACCACGAAACTAATAAAAATCTCATATATTTAACATTTTATATGCCCTTATGAATGATTTTATAGATGTTTCCTTTAATTGAACACATGGCATAACAAATTTTTAACAGAGGTAATACTTCACACTCTAGAATGTAAATTCCAAGAGACATACATAGAAAAATACAAGGCTACATGCAGCCTCCTAATATACGTTCTAAATTATAATATTACCGATATTCTTCTTGGTAAAAGATAGATATACTATAAAATCACGAAATGATAGTGATTTAATACATCAAGGCTGTACTTCAAAATTATTGACAGCGCTAAAAAAGAATGGACTTAAGGGAGAATTCACATTTTGGCAGAAAACAGAAAGGAAGAAGCTAAGGGTGTTTACGATAAGTTGTCGGATTGGAAATCCGACTGAACAGTGGTACTCAATCGACCCATTTCAAAAAATTCCCTAGCTTAATCAGATTTTAGTAAAAGCTGTCTCAGCAATAATCGGATTAGCTTCATGGCGACGTGAGGTGATACTTTGTCCTCAAGAGAAATAAAAAGATAAAAGTCGGTAGGTACGTAATTATTATTCTAATGATTAACGCTTATCATTTTCCTTATATATCAATATATGAATAAATGATCTGTTACACTTTTACTGATATTAAATTAATGAAAAGAAATATTAGTAATCTCACGTGTAGTAAACATTAACCTATAATAATATTGGATTTATGTCATAATTTCGTATGTAACAAAATAAGAACAGTATAAAATCTGTCAAATTAACATTACAAACATACTAATTTTAAAATATATTAAGGACATTTATACATTTATATATAGATACATATAAATATGTGTGCTTGTATATGTATATGTTCATATGTGTAATCTATAATTATTTACACACTTATATTTTTATATAAAAAGAATATTTATATTTTTATAGATTGCGTATATACATATA